TTTCTCGTGAGTTCTCTGGTTTGTGTGGTGTGAGCTTTGTAGGCAGTCCCTGCATTCTTAGATGGTAGAGTTTCATTTCAGCAAGTCTCTTTGAAAGATCAGGAGTCTATACACAGGTAGTAGTGATGGCAGAGGGCAAGGAGGTTGGGGTGCAGCATTGTGGCTAAGAGCAGGGACCCTTGAGTTAGACTAGCTTTGAATCCTGGCTCTGCCATTGAGCAGCTTTGTATCCTTGGGCAATGTATTAACTTTTTGAGCTTCAATTTCTTTATCTATAAAATGGATATAATAATACTACTACTATAGGGTTATTTGAAAATTAAATGTATTAGTCTATGTAAAGCACTTAGAACTCTCTGCATAGTGAGACCTGTTTAGTGTTTGCCATTATTATGATTATTAGTCTTTTTGTACCCCTGCCCTTGATCTGTTTACACACACTGGCTTCAGCTGCTCAAGATGGCTTGTAAGATTTTCTTTGTGCCCTTTGCTGTCAGTACCAGGAGGAGATTCATTCATTTTTTTCAATCAACCAACATATTTTGAGCATCTGCTGCTCTACAGGGTCCTAGGTGTGGGGGCTGCAGAGATGTCCAAGAACATAAGGCTTGATTCATTGGGTCAGATCCGTGCTCAGTCAGGCTGGTAAGTGCTAAATTCTTTGTAAGTGGCTTATCTTAAAAAAGGTATGTCCCAAACATAGCTCTTTGAGAGAGAGCATGAGGATACAAAAGCACAAGCTAGGGGCCAGATAGTGGTGCAGTGGTAACATGCAATGCTCTGTAAGGCCAACCTACATGGGAAGGTTCCAGGTTCATATCCAAAGACCTCCCTGAGTAGGGAAGGTAAAGTGTATGGTGGCATCATCAAACCCCCCTTTGGAATGCTGTTTCTTTGTTTCTATTCCTCTTCTGTCTTGTTGCTCATGGAAGAAATTGATAAACTTAAAAAAAAAGGGAGTCAAATTTAGGGAGTCAATAAATCAGGGTTCAAATGTTGATGCAGTTTCTTACCAGGCTATGGCTTCTAACTTATCCAAATCTCAGTTTCTTCACTTCTAAAGTGACAGTAATATGTACAACCTACCTCACAGGGTTTTTGTGAGTTAAATGAGCTGTAACAAAATTCCTGAGTATGCAGGTTGATTTGCAATGGTGGTAACACATGAGGGCAGCTTATTTCTGAGTAACCTGTTGATACTTTCAGACCATGACACCTACTGGGGTCATTTCCTACCTGAGCCACTTGTCAAACAGAATTTTATGTGGCCTCTGAGTTGGATGGAAGAATACTGGTTCCTGTCTTATACTCTAGTTCTGAAGATTAAATGAAATAATCTTTACAAAATATGCCTAATACATATTGGGCTTTAAATAATGGTAGCTATTATTTACCTAAAAAAACAAATGATACCTTCAGAGGTTCAACGTTGATGAGTTGATGACTCTTTATTGAACTCATTCTCTTCATTTTCTTTCTTGGTTTTTTTTTTTTTTTTGGTTCATTATTCTTTTCTGAACTTATTTACATTCACACTGCTTTTTAAAAAAATTTTTTTAACCTGTCTTTGTTAGTATTTGTAAGTGACTTTATTTAACTACAATCTTGGAAAGCATGCAATTTTATATTCTGCTTTTTTCACTTAATATTATATGCTTAATGGTGTCTGTGTTTCATAAAAATCATTGTAATGACTACATAATATATCGTAGTTGTACCGCAATTTAATCATGTCCCTGCTGCTGTGCAATTACATTGTTTCCAATATTTTGTGATTATAACGTTTCAATGAGTGAATAACTTCATGTATAGAGCTTTCTGATATTTTAAATCTAGTTTTCTAGGATGAATCCCCAGGGATATTACTTGGTCAAAGGGGGTAAACATGACTTTTGAATACATATTGCCACATTGCTTTCCCAAAGGGCTCAGCTGATTGATATTTTCATGTTCGTTATTTTACAAGCTTCAGTTCATTCCCTGACTTAACAAACATTTTTAGGCCCTTCTCATGTGACAGAGAGGGAACATGAGAAATCACCTCTCAGAAGGATGGCCACGCTGCAGTCTCCTCTCCTTCATTCTCCTCTAGGGATTTGGGCACACATGCATATGTATTGGCATGGTTTTCAAGCCACTGTGTCCGAGGTTTGAACCATATTTAGCTAGGAGTCCTGTGCCTTAACCACTGCACTACCTGCTGGCCCCTCCTGTGGCTGTCTTAGTAAGAAAAAAGTGACCCTAAAGGAGAAGCTCATGTATAAATAGGGCCCCTGTGGTGCCCAGTGGTGCCCACGTGCTGATAAAGGCAGCGAGACTCCCAGCTCAGCTGGTAGAAAAGCTTATTTTCAGAGTCATGGCTGTGTTCTTTGGCAGAAGGGATGTTGCTTTTGTTATTTTAACCCAGTTTTTCTGAAGCATAATTAACAAATAAAAATTGTATATATTTAAGGTATACAACATATTTTGATAAGTATGTATACATATATATACATCAACTTAAAAAATGAGTTACAGAATACAAAGATGTTCTCTATTTGGAAAAAAAAAGGGGGGGGGGGAACAGCAGTTAGCGTAAGGGCTATGTCACTGGACTACCATGTAGTTGACCGTTGTTTGTGTCCTGGCCCCGGTGACTTAAAACTCACGCTGGGCGCGTGTGCATGTGTGCCCAAGATCCCGAGAGGAGAACAGAGGAGAAGGGATTGTGGTGTGGCCCTCCCCCCTGGGGGGGGTGATTTCTTGCTTTCTGTCTCTCTCTGTCTGGCGAGCGCACGTGCCCTATAGAAAAAAAAAAAGGAAGAAAAGGCTGAATGTCATTCCCACACTTGGAGATTTCAGTGTGAGTTAACTCACTGAGATTGTACATTTAGCAAGATCAGTACTGTCTTTTGTCTTGGGGACCCTGTAATCAGCCTGCTTTCTTCCAGAGAGGGATCTATTTGGCTTTTACTTTTTCTTCCTGGTGTGCTCTCTGTGCAAACTATTCTTCATAGTTTTATGTAACAGCTTTTTTTTGTATGAGAGTAATACATGCTCATTATGGAAAATTTAGAAAACTCAGAAAAGTTTAAAAACAAAAAGCCACCCATGTTTTTATCATCCTAAGGCATGTCTACTATTGATTTCTTCTTGTGTATCCTTTGAAAGAGAAGTTTAAAAAGAGTTCAATGTGGAACTATGCCAAAGATCTTTGGAAATTTTAAACCATTACTTAAAATATAGTAGTTCCTCCTTTATCCCAGAGAAATATGTTCCGAGACCTTCAGTGGATTCCTGAAATCATAGGTAGTACCTAACCCTATATAAACTATGTTTTTTTAATACATATATGTCTTCCTTTGATTCAGTTTAATTTATAAGGTAGGTATAGTAAAGACTAACAGTAACTAATAATAAAATAGAACAATTACAATAACATACTGTAATAAAAGTTGTGCAAATGTGGTTTCTCTCTTTATCTGTCGAATATCAGATTGTGATTAATTACAGTTACTGATACTGGGAGGAAGAGAGACTATCGTATCAGAAATCAAACAACAAATAACCAAACAAAAAACCCTAAATAGTCCAAGCACCAGCAATAGCAGAAAAGTTAAATTATGAAGTATTTACAGAGTGAATATCAAGTGGCCGTTGAAGTCCTATTTTAAGAGAGTATTTAGTGTCATGGAAAATGCTTTTGGCATGATAGTAAGTGGAAAAGCAGAAAACTAAATTATATATGTGTATAATCTCAATTCTTTAGAGAAAAATTATTATGTATGTATGTATAGAAGAAATACAAAAGACAGTAAGAGAGAACCAATGTTAGCTCAGTTTAGTAGGGATTATCTGTGGAAGGTAGGATTGAGAGTGATTTATATTTATCTCTTTTTAAAATCTTTTCACAATAAAAACATATGGACTTGAGGACAAAGAAAAAAATTCTGCTTTTATAAAAAAGGACTTTCATACCAGTGTTCTTGGCTTTGTGTTCTGAAGCCACAGTTGTAGTTACTCTTAAACGCGTGGGCCTGTGACTCTTCTGGGTTCTTTGGTGTTCATCCTAATTAGAACGTTGGAACCTAGAAATGAACCCGAGTGGTGAGAAACCTCAGGCAGTGTCCCTACCTGTCTAAACACCACTGGTTCAGTTAAATTATGGCTAGTGATTTCCATCATGTCCCACTGCTGATTTTTCCCTGGGTAACTCAAGGAAGCAGGATTTTCCTTTAGAGAAACTTCACTGTTAACCCGTGGAGTATGCTTGCTTCTAAGCTTAAATATCTTCTGCCTCATTGAAGAAGATGTTGACTATACCTTGATGGATAGGGAAGAAGTTTGCATCATCCCTAGCTCTTTCCAGTCTGGATGCACACAAGTCGATATGGAACTGTGTGTGAATTCCAGTTCTCCTTTGGGAGTCCTCTTCTCAGCCCCAGTGGGAGTAACTTTGGGTGCAATGAAAGGAGCAGAGATGGTCTGTGTTAGCGCTACAGGTTGCCGTACGTCCTGTCCTCTCAGCAACAGTCATTGTATCCCCAACACTGCGCTAGCGCTGGGAATGTAGAAAGACTCACATGGTACCTGCTTTCAGGGTGCTCACAGTGTCTCTAGGGAGCCAGTGAATGAAACATGCTTTTGGGGGCTTGAGAAAAGTGCCATGGGAGGTATGTGCATGGATTACTGTGGGTGCATAGAAGGGCTTCTAGCTTTGGCTGAAATTTTAGTAAAAGGAATTATGCCATGTGGAGCCTTGAAGAATGAGTAGAAATGAGCCAGATGAAATATGAGAAGCAGCTTCCATTAAGGAAAGCATGACGTGCAGAATGGTATGTTGTAGGGTGAGTGCAGAGGACAATTTGATGTTAAGAAAGCTTAAGGAGAGGGGTGGGAGCTGGAAAAGTTAATCAATTGTTAAATGAACTAGTTTGTGGATTTCCCAAAGCCTAATGGCATTAGACATCCATTTTTTTTTTTTTTTCAATTCACTGCTCTTTGTCTTATTTCTTACTCAGTGTCAACTGTTGCTGGAAGTCGCCTGGCCTCTATTTATCTTCCTGATCCTGATATCTGTTCGGCTGAGCTACCCCCCCTATGAACAACATGAATGTGAGTATCTGTGGAGCATTCCTGAGACTCATTTCTGGCAAAGAAATCCAGGCAATGAATATGACTTCTCTTTGACTTTTCCAGAGATGCTGTCTTTAAGAAACACCAGATATTTTAATGAGACATAAATTCAGAATACTTTTAGTCATAGGGGATGGTGATAATAGTAATGATAATAATGACCAACATCATTTTACACATTTTAAATTATGACAATAAAATAACCTTACTGATAGTTCAGAAAGTGGTGATTAAAAAGCACCCTTAAGGAAATTCCTTAACACTTTTATCATCTCTCTAGTCCCCGCCAGTGTTTCTATGTGTATTATGTCTTAATCACACAGTTATAAATCATAGAATGCATAATTTTTAAGCAGCATTTGTGTAGAATATTATATTTGATTAATAGTATTTTATTTGATTCTCCTAACAGCCTTGCATAATAGCCTTTATTATCATTTGTTTTAATATCTTGATAAGTGAATTGGGGCTCAGAAAAGGCACAAGGACTCTGTCTAGTAAGTGAGAGATGAAATGAAGCTCAAGTCATTGACCCTCAATCATCTGTTTCGATGCTGGTATTTCAATGAGCCTGGAAATAGAGTAAGACTAAGAATACAAGTTCTTGATGTCAGGTTATCTGGATTTGAATCCTGGCCTCAACATTTATTAGGCATATTACCCTGGGCATGTGACTTTAACTTCTTTCTAAAAAAGAAATAGTAATACCAATTTCACTTTATGTTGCTAATATTCTCATCCTGTAAGCAGTCGTTCTGTTATAGTTAGGCTCAGTGAATAGATTAATATTGCAGAAATGTCCAAATTTAAAGAATGAACTTCTTTGTGGGAGTTTTAGCTGGAATCTGTTTCACAGTTCCAGTTACTTTTCCTACCAATAACCAGCTGTGCCCACACTCCCACCAGACCAGTAGGCTTCCAGGATACTGTTCTTCCAGGAAAGCAATAGGGCCAGGGTCACCTTTTAGGTTTTGTGTGTGTGTGTGTGTGTGTGTGTGTGTGTGTGTGTGTTTTCTTTTTTCAGTCTGGTTTCATCTCTCTTACAGCACATAGTTGAAGTTATTTACATGCTAATTTATTAATACACATCATACATATTCAAGTTAACACATATACATATGCACATACAAATCTTAAGAATGTTCTCCTAACCGTGATTTTCTGATTTCGCCAAAAAGGAAAGGAGCATATAAACAAATCCATACTCAATACTTGGGTATGTGAAGGAATTTTCCCTTCCCTTTTAGAACTCCAAAAATATTTCATTGATTAATGAACAAATGCGCTTTGGATTATATTACCACATTACCCTGAGGCCCACCAGAGTGTATGTTTTAGGGCAAACTCAGTTTTTTCATTCACTATTCTCTTTCTGGAATGATCCAAAGCCAGCAAGATGGTGTAGTAGAAATAGCATAGACATGGGCATCAGACAGATTGGAATTTGTTTGGATGCTGACTTCTCAATTTATTGGGGTTGTGGTATTGGGTAAGTTGTTGAGTTTTGACCCAGATCCTTCTGACTTCACACTATACATTTTTAGAAATAGTAAGAAATTATTGTACACATTGAAGGCAAATAAGACTTCCCATTCATCTATGTACTTTTTGCAATCTTACCTTCTATTCCTACCACACTTTAAGGACCTAGTTGGAAGGGCAGAATTGAAAACTTAGGTGAAACTTGTAGAGGTGTCTTGTCTCTGGGAATGAAGGACTGGTGTAATATTCTTCCTCATAAATCTTTTCTACTACAACCCAGTCATTGAGGGTCTAATAACCTCCCTGAGTCCTGAGACTCCATTATGCTATTTGATTGTCATTCTGTTTACCCAAAACCTCATCATCCTGTTTTTGTTTGCAAATAAGATGGGCCATAAAGGATTTTGCTTCCCTCACCAAGGGCCAGCCTGAAATACTTGGGACCTCACTGTCCTTTGTGCGGTATCTCTTGGTCCCTTACAAAAATTTCCGCTAAATGAGGAGCAACTGACTTGGGCTAGGGTCCTTGTTTGGTTTTCCTTGAACTGTTAACAGGGAGATAAAGAGATTAACTGAGTAAATATTCAATAGGCCAGAGTCCCTGTAGAGGGTGGCTACAGTGATTAGATCTTGTCACATCCTTACTTTGGATGTTAACTGTCTGGTTGGAGTAGGGATATAACAAAGAGACAGAAAGGCCAAAGTGTAGCAAGTCCTGGCTTTGGGCTAACTTCTGGAGGAGGCACTGTTAACATATTTGCATGAAAATAGATAAGAAACAGGACTGCTACTTTGGAGGAACTGAGGTGGTAGGGATGGAAGGACAATAGCAGCCTAAGAATTGTCCTAGGCTCACTGCCACAGTGCCTCAGAATTCCTAGTAGGCCCATGCATTGGGTTTTGTCCTCAGAACTCTGCTGAGTGTTTGCCTGTGAGAGCTCATGTAATATTCACCACACTCTGGAAATAGATTGTGTTTTCCTCATCATTTTATAGATGAGGAAACTGAGGGCTAAGGATCAGTGACTTGGCTAAACTAACTGCTTAGCAGTTGCAGGGACTGGTTGGGAATACCAATTGGTCTGATCCCAAAGCCTATGAGGCTACATGGCTCTTCACCAGCTGGAGTTGTGGCTCTTAATGGGTGTTAACTCTTTTGGGATCACAGAAAACTCTGAGACTATGATGAAAGCTGGAGCCATGGCCTTTCTGTCCAAACATGAACAGATCCTGGGGTTAAAAGTCCCTGGTCCAGGTCCCATTTACCTAGATCCTTATAAGCAGCACCCACACAGATGGTTGCTACACACCAAATCATGCCAAACTGAATGCTCAGACACAGCCCAAACATGCCCACTCATGCTTACTATAATGAAGGCAAAGGAGAATTAGGAGGTGACCTAGTGCATGGGGCCTTGTATTGATGAGTGGCAAAACAACAACAATAAACAAATGTAGCTTCATGGATGACATTTGATTCCATTTAGTGTGTGTTCCAGACACCCTTGAGGAGCTTTTGAGGAAGTGAAACAAAATGTTAGGTAAATTGAGGAAAATAGCAGAAGGGACTGAGAAGAGCTAGATTATAAAGGAGGCCACAAATTTTGTGCCTGTTGACTCCCTGAGCATTCATTGGCCATGCTATCCTACCGTAAGTTCCTCCTTGGAGTGTGAGGAATTGGATTAGGTCATCCCTACCCTTCTATATCTCAAGAGGGGCAGCTGGAGGTAGAAGATGAACTATAAGGACTAAGTACTTGCTGCATGCCAGGCACTTTCTGTAGATGGTTTAATCTACCCCTTCTTTTGCTTCTCCAAGGTTGGTGTCTTGAACCACATTCTGTAGATGATGTTGAATAGGTTAAAGACTACATCTGATGAATTTTTAACCAGTGTTGGATCAGTCTGGAGCACGCTGAGGGATGTGAGGAATGGGAAACAGATTTGGGACAAAGCATTGTATAGGTGAAGTCTCAAAATCGCTTCAAAGAATGAATGTTACTTTCCTTATGTTTTCCTTCTTCTCAATTTCAACAGGTCACTTTCCAAACAAAGCCATGCCCTCTGCAGGAACACTTCCTTGGGTTCAGGGAATTATCTGTAATGCCAATAACCCCTGTTTCCGTTATCCGACTCCTGGTGAAGCTCCTGGGGTTGTTGGAAACTTTAACAAATCCATGTAAGTACCAGATCAGGTTTTCTTCCCCAAACTTGTCAGATAATACTTATCCTTGCCTTTCTATGTTTTGGAGAATACTGAATGGCTGGATTTGAATGAAGTTGCTTTTGTAAATATTTGTGTGATAAAATGCAGAATGAGGGCAGTGAGAATTGTTGCCAGGATTTAAGACTGTGGGACCTTACCATGGTACAGTTAGGAATAAGGATGACCTGTAGCCAGTGGCCACATGGTTGAGGCCATTTCTTCACAAATTAGCTGGTAAATAGGGAAAGGAGACACAGCACGTGAGCTCTTGCTCATTAGTCTATTCATTCAGCCAACGCTTGCTGCACATCTGAAATGGCTGGTCCTGGCAGCTTGTGGGTGGGGAGGGTATAAGGAGGTGCCCTAGACGGATCTCCACCTGCAAGGAGCTTACAGCCAAGGACTAGAGGGTTCTGTCCTCTCTGCTTTCAACGCACCTCTCTTTCTTCCATGGCTACTCCCGTAGTACTGCAGTATTACCTCTGTCTGCAGGCCTTTCTCTTCTCTAGGTTTGAGCTCCTAAGGGTGGGATACCACTTTCTCTTTGTTGGTATTCCTAGCTGCTTGCTTTTTCGCCAGACATAAGTATAATGGTCAGGAGCGTCTGCTGAAATACCCAGAACCGTAACACGAGTTGGGACGGGCTAGAGACTAGCATGTGTTTCAATACAGTTTTGGGACAGCTCCATCTGGAGGGGACCACATTATATGCATGTGGATTATAGGCTTTGTAGCCTGCCTGGACCTTTCTTTCCATATGAAACTATTAAAAAATCATGTTTCATAATTGCATTGGTATAAAGATGAGTAGAATCCAGGACATAGTCATTATTACATATATTAGTTCATCGGAAAAGTCATGATGTATTTTTCTATGTAAAAATGCATCATGACTTTTCTGACGACCCAGTATATTCTCACTTTATTTTCTGTTCTGATTTTTTAAAAATTTAAAACATTTTCATGGGCCTCTAAGAGTCTCTCAGACTCAAGGCACTGTGTTTACTTTGCCTCATGGATACATCGGCCTTGGGTGTTTTGAGATGAACTGGGCTGTGAAGGGTGATAGGTGTTGGTTGTATGGACACATGAGAAAGGCATTTGGGGCAGGGATGATGGGTGTGGGCAGGAGCATAAACTGTATTGGCAGCTGGGTGTGGGGAGCAGTAGGAGTGGACCAAGGCCAGGCTGTGAAGGACCTGGGAACCAGGCTGGGGCATGTGGGCCTGGTTGTCACTTTGTAAAGTGTCCTAACAAGGGCTTTTCCCCTTTTCTTGCACAGTGTGTCTCGCCTGTTCTCAGATGCTCGGAGACTTCTTTTATACAGCCAGAAAGACACCAGCATGAAAGACATACATAAAGTTTTGAGGACATTAAAACAGATTGAGAACTCCAGTCCAAGTAAGCAAAATCCTTTTGTGTGTAGGTGTGGAGTTGGAAATGGACCTGCATAGGGGAGAGTGAGCAGGCCAGGTGGCCTGGGGCTCATTGCCTAAGGGTTTTGTTCCTCAGTGGTTGGGTTCTGTGCCTTTCTGTAGGAGGCATTGAGAAAACTAGGGGAGCTGGTTGCCACACACAGTGAGTGCACTGGGCTCTTCTTGGGAGACAGAAGAAAAATCCCCAGATGGAGTGGCACAAGCTTGGTGTTAGGAATAGCTCAGGGGTACAGGTTGCTGCCAACTGCATTTTTTTTTTTTTTGGAGTTGGTCATATGGTTGCAGGGAATGGACAGATTTATGGATGGGATACTTCTGTGACTGTAAGCGCAATTAAAGTTGCAACTTGAGATAGAGAAATGAAAGTTAAGCATTTATTTCTAAAAGGAACATGCAATTCATCTTTTTCCTAGTCATTGGATTTGGTTTGATGGGCAGTTGAACTCTGATCTTTAAAAAGTGATTTCTTTACCTGTGGTCTGGTAAGTGCCCAGGTCATTTATTGATGCCATCCAGGAGGTATCTGAGGAGCAGTGTGCTGACTGAGGTCAGCTGCGGAAGTCTCAGAGCAACCTCCCAGAGGGGCGTAGAGGATGGGGGGAGTAGTCCACAGACTGCAGGCAGTAATGGTGTGAGTGGTCTACAGAGGATTTCAAAGCAATAATGAAGCTGACTAAAAGTTGATCTGCTTTTAATTATCACTATGCGCTGGTAGTACTAAACAATGTCAGTGATAAATGACTCCTCCCCATCATGCCAACCACTGCCACTTCAGGAAAGTACTTTTGACTCATTTTGGTGTTTGGGGAGGGATGGAGTAGACTGGCCTTTGCTGAGAGGGCTCCCAGTTTGTGATCTATCGATACTTGGCAAAAGAAGAAATGGTATAAAGTGTTAGAGTTTAAACCAGACTCTGATTGGAGCTTTTTCTTAGGCAGACAGAATTACGCTTTCCTTGGGCAGGAAAAGAGTCAGTGGGCACTGTGGGTTCTGATGACGAAGGGAAGCAAAACTGTGTTGGGGGTGGCTCGGATGAGTATCATTTCACGGTGGAGAAAGGTGTGGCTGTGCTTGGGTTCCTGGGTCAACTGCAAGGAACTCCCAGCTAGACCACTGCTGGCTGCATGGCCAGGGGATCTGGAGGCTGTGCCCTTGACATGAGGCCCCAGTCCTGCACACGTGTCAGTTCCAGTGCAGAATACAGAGACAGCAACCACCCATCAAAGCCTCATGCTTCCTGAGGAGTGTCCTTGGAGTATCCTTGCCTGGTGCACTGGAGGCAGAATTGGGATTATGCTCTCTGCCACTGAGAGGCATTGTGGCACAGAGAAAGAGGGCTCTCAAACATTACCTCATAGCTTTGTGCCTTTGTGAATGTTAGCCCCCTTTGGGTCACTTCCCCCTTATCTGCAAAATGGATATAATAGGAAAACCTAGCTCAGGTTGTTATGAGGAATAAATGAGAGGAAAACATTTAATTGCTTAAAAACAGCATTTGGCATCTAGGAAGAACTTAGTGAATATGAGCTGTGAATATTTTTTTGGAGCAACTCAGCCCTTTAACGTCTCTGAGCCTTAATTTCCTCAGGTATTAAAATCATAGCTGACCTGGAAGGTCAAATGTAAAACTTAATGCACTGTCTGACACATAGTAGGTGCTTAATAAATGGGAGCCAATATTACATTCCTATATGACAGTGATGTATTTCTGACATTTGGGCCTTGTACTTCTATGTCTCAACTTTCAGGGCTGTTAGACGGGCTGATGGTGTGAGTTGCCAGGCAGTTTCAGATCTTAGTCAGGTTGCCTTAGCAGCAGAAGTACTTTTCTTTAATTTTCGTTTTTTCTTTTTGAGAGGTTTTTGCTATAGGGTGCGTGCGCTCGCCAGAAAGACAGAGAGAGACAGAAAGTGAGAAATCACCCCCAGGGGGGATGGCCATGCTGTAATCCCTTCTCCTCCATTTGCCTCTTGGGATCTTGGGCATGCACACACATGCGCCTGGCATGGGTTTAAGCCACTGGATCTGGGATTTGAACCGCAGTCAATGACATGGGAGTCCAGCGACATAGCCATTACGCCAACTGCTGGTCCTGAGAACTATTTTTCTTTAAGCAACTGAAGACTTGAGTTAGGGTAGAGTAGAGAAGCCAGTCCCATGTCCAAAAACACACTCCTGTGTGCACAGCTCAGGGGAAAGGAGATCTCAGATTTTTATGGTGTCACGTTAGTACTTATTTCCCATCTTTTTTGTTGGCTCAGTATGGCCCTTTTATTTTTTACCCCCCACCCCCCGCAGCTATTTCTTAACATGTTCCCACATTTCTTTGATTATTTTGCAACGCCAACCTAGGCTTCAGTCTACAGGGAAATGCACAGAAATGCTGCTTTTTCCTAGGGGACATCGATACCTTCTTGCTAATTGTTTTTTCCTTTGGAGAGGTTTTTTTTTTTTTTTGCTATAGGGTGCGTGCGCTCGCCAGACAGACAGAGAGAGACAGAGAGACAGAAAGCGATGAATCACCCCCCCCTTGCTAATTTGTTTTTCCTTTGGAGAGGTTTTTTGTTTTGTTTTGTTTTGGTTTTGTTTGTTTGTTTGTTTGTTTTTGCTATAGGGTGCGTGCGCTCGCCAGACAGACAGAGAGAAACAGAGAGACAGAAAGCGAGAAATCACCCCCCGGGGGGATGGCCGTGCCGCAATCCCTTCTCCTCCATTCTCCTCTCAGGATCTTGGGCACGCACGCACATGTGCCTGGTGTGAGTTTAAGCCACCGGGTCCAGGACTTGAACCACGTTCGACTACATGGGAGTCCAGCAACATAGCCATTACGCTAACTCCTGGTCCCCCTTCTTACTAATTTTGAATAGTACTCTGTAGATTTTTAGAGAGTCTGAAGTTTGAGTATGCCAGTGTAGGTCCCTACGTAGAGACTTGAGTTTATCTGTGCCGATACCTGCTTTGCCCATGGCTTTATGGGCTTAGTTCTCTGGCATTGCCTCTCAGGGCTGACAGGATCCTCAGATCTCTCTCTGCTTTCACTCTTCTCTTGCACTTGTCCTGCCCGCTTGAGGTGGGGACCCACCTCTCACAGGGTAGCTCACTTTGGGAGTTGGCAGCTCTAGTTATCAGAATATATTTGCTACTGTGCTCTACTAAAGAGAGAGTCTAATTCTATTTCCCTTGAAATACTTGAAGACAGCACTCATGTTTTTTTCCCTTTCCTCCCTCAATTCTTTGCTTTTTCTAGGCGAAATGTTCTCTCTTCTTATGTTTTTCCTCTTCATTTCTGCTGTCCTTTGGTTGTGTTTCTACGTGTCCGTGTCTTTCTTGAAGTTTACCAGAAATTACGCAAGTATTCCAGCATTGAGGAGAAAGGGACTTTTGCCACCCTTGCTCTGAACATGTTATTTCTGCTAATGCAATCTGAGATTGCATTAAGATTTTTGGATCCACGTCACCCTGTGATTCATATTTCATGTGCAGTCAACCAAAATTGCAGATTCTTTTAGCTAGACAGAATTGCAAGTTACTTGTTCTCCATGCCTTTATTGTGATGTTGACTTTTGAACAAAAAAAGAAAATCTCTCTTCTATTTTACATTTTTGGATTTTTTTGGTGCCATTTCATCCTACAAAAAACACTTTAGACTCTGATATTGACATGTATTGTATCTTCTTCTTTTCTGTGCTCTAGGAATTTGATAAATAACTCTTTGTTTTCATCCAAGTCATTGATAACTGTAGGACCAAGTCCTGAGCTTGGACCAGTCCACCGGAGACTAGCAAGTTCTTTGGACATAATTCAGGTTTCAGAGAATAACCACTATGTTGTGATCAGTGCTGAGCCACTGGGCTCCTGCTTCTGTGATCCAGCTGGGGGATTTATCTTCTCTTTCCTTCGACTTGCATCTGATAAATCCCTTGGTTTATCCACAGATATTTGTGGCTATGGGGAGTCTCTACTTAAATATTCTTTTCTAGTTTCATAGTTTCCCAAGCTAGAGTATCATTTTAAAATTTTCAGTTGTTAGAAGATACATTATATATCTATTTATCTATGAATAAGTATTTGTATTTACTTATAGATAAATGGGCTGATTGATTCAATTATGTAACCAGTGTTTATTGATGTACCAACCACTGCCCTAAGTGCTGAGACATAGAGGTGTACAAAACAAATATGGCCCCTGTCTATGTGGAACTTCTAGATTATAGAGAAGAATCTGATCCAGAAAAGGGAAGTGAGTTTCCCAGGTTTACACAACCATGAGAGAGTATTCTGGGAATGGAACACAGCTAAACCTCAACTGCCATGCACTCCTCTTTCTACAGGACTATCTTATGCTCTCTTAATAATCTTCTACCTGGGAAGGCCTCCAGTTTTAGGAAGTAAGTCACAGACAAATCTAATTACCCTTGAAACCATCCTAATGAGGAATCCAAGGAGAAACGCTTATGGAGATGCCATATCTAGTTTTCTCATCCGTTGGACGTTTTATTGTTTTCTTTCTAAACCAGAGTATAGCCACACATTTGAGTGGAGACTAAATTAATGGTTGGGAGCCAGTGAGAAAATATTTATTCTGCTTAAATACCTATCATGATGCAACTCAAAGGAAATACAAAAATTGGACAAAGTCTCAGAAACCTTAGAAGAAGTAGAATGTCAGGGCCAGCAGGTTGTTAAGGCACTGGATTCTCACATGACTGACCAGAGTTTGAGTCACAGACCCAGAGGCTTGAAACTCATGCCAGGCATTTGTGCTTGCTTGCCCAAAAATCCCAAGAGAAGAATAGTGGAGAAGGGATTGTAGTGTGGCTATATCTCCTAGGAGGTGATTTCTTACTTTCTCTCTCTCTATAGCAAAGAATCTCTCTTTCTAAAAAAAAGAAAAAGTAGAATGTCTATCTTCTGTCTTTGTGAGCTGCAGACTGGCAAAGATGAATGGTTTTCTGAGTTTTGTGT